CTTAATTTCCTTCCTCATTTCTTGAAGAGTTCTGTATATTAATCTTTTGTATTCTGCCTCCGGTAATTCCAATAAATTTTCTTCCTCTGGAAAATTTCTAGATTCTTTATTTTGGGAGCTTGCTGAAGCCATCATGGATTGCCTCTTTATGTGATTTGATATTGATTGTTGTCTCTGAGCTATCAATAAGTGATTATATTTATTTATTTTATGCTTGCTTACTGTGTCCTAGCCTCGTTTTGTATTGATATGCCCAAATAGGTGCACCTCTGAAGCTCTAATGCCCTGTCACCAGGTGATTAGATCTGTTACTCTGTATGTGAGCTCAGAAGTCCACCCACTCCTCCTGTATGGATTCAGGTCAGGTGCCCAGGTAGATAGCCACCAAGTGTGTGGTGTAGGCTCTCACTTACAGTCCTAGACAGGCTGGGTGATTGGTGTAGGCACAGGCATCTGGCTGCAGCAGGGGGACACACTCTGAGCAAGGCAGGGGACTGACGGCCGCCCCTGAGTGTCCAGGAGGAAGGCGTATCCCTGTTGCCTAGAGCACGTAGGTGGGTGGGTTTTGCAGCCAGACTATGAGCACCTAATGCTGTTGGCTGTAAGGACTGGGGGTACCTCTTATTCATGGACCCCTCTCACAGGTGGCTAGGTGGTGTGAGTGGAGCCTCCGGTCCTCAGGCCCCTGATGTGGGTAGGTGAAGACCTTGCTTAATGGGCAGAACAGTGTCAAATGTCAAGAACCTGCCATTTCACAGCTGAAACAGTTGAAGTTAGAGTTCCGGTATATACCGCTGTACTGCAGTAACGAGGGCCTATGCTGTTGAGATGGGTCCACACAAGTCTTCTGCAGGGGGAAAGGCACTCAAAGTCCCTGGATCCCTTATGCCTGTGCCTAGGCAAAGGAGCTGTGCCTACCCTGGGTTCCTGGCTTAAGGGAGCCAGCAGTTTTTTTCCCGTGTGTTAATTTGTTCACTCTCCAAGGTAGGGAGAATGGCTCTGGGCGTTTGACGGATCCTACTTCTGGCCCAGGGGGGAATCTGCAATTGCTGAAGCCGGTCCGGAACCCAGGGCAGAGCAGGGAGCGGGTAGGTAAATGGGAGAGAGGTTTTTCCCTAAGGGGGGTGTTTCTGATCCGCGCTGTAAGCTGTACGCAAGCACTTATCTTTCGCCAGATGCAGAGCTGCTTCTCACTGGTTCTGGGTGGCCACATAGACCCTCTGGCACTGGGTCTCCCCCGGTGTGGAAAACGCACCTCCTGAGCACGGCTGCTTGCCTGCCTCACCACTGACCCCCAAGCTGCTCAGGCCTGAAGGGCTCAGGCTCTCGCTGGGTCAGGTCTGGTAACTCCTTGCTGCTTCCGAACCGTCTCTCCCTCCCCTTGCCGCTCAGTCCAGTTCCTCAACTCTGCCTTTGATGTTCAGGGCTCTCAGGTTGCCATATATAATCAAATCACTTGTTTTTTTCGGGTCTTTGTTATAAGAGGGTCCACCGGAAGCATCTGACTACTCTGCCATCTTGGCCCCGCCCTAAAACTTTTATTATTAAAGGAAGACTTTTAGTGGTTAAAGCTTAGAGGATGCCATTTTCCAAAACTTTGTACAGGCAATTCAGTTCCCTTTTTTTCTCTACTTTGTTACTCTATTGACTTCCTGAGGAGAGAAGTAAGGATTCTTAGCATAGATATGAAAAATACAGGCTGCAGAAATCAATCCTTCTGTGGATGGCCCTAAGGAGCCATGGTGGCACAGTGGTTAATCGCTCAGCTGCTAACCTAAAGATTGGCAGTTGGAACCCACCAGCCACTCCATGGGAGAAAGATGTGGCAGTCTGCTTCTGTAAAGATTACAGCCTTGGAAACTGTGGAGCACTTCTACTCTGTCCTATAGGGTTGCTATGAGTCAAAATCTACTCAACGGCGACAGGTTTGGTTTTGGTGGATGGCTCTGATAACAGCCAAACAGGAATTCCAGGTTATAGAGCTAGATGCATAGCACTCAGAAATCCATCCCATTTGTTTCCATACAATGGTTTCTCCTTCAATTTCTCCTAAACTAGAGTTCAATAAAAAAGCTTTCATTATACATCTCCAATATAGAGGTCATGCTGAGGCTAGAGAGATGAAGGCCAAGTCCAGCCTTGATGAGCTTACAATGTAGCAGAGGGGACAGGCACTTGCTACACCATTGTTAGCTAAGGCGGGTTGGGAGACATGCTCTAACAGAAGGCTCTGGCAAGTCCAATGGCAGGACAAGTGAGAAGGAAGATGAACTCCCACTGGGAAATACAAACGGCCTGGGAAAGGACTGAGGATTTCAGCCAGGTGCTGAAGGATGAGTGTGTGGAAGATGGGTGTTGAGGACAGAAGGGACTGTAGGTCAAGGAAGAATAAAAATGACAACTCGGAGTTGGGAAAATGCAGTGTACACCAGAGGAACATGGGGCAATCCGGTGTGGGTGGAGTGTAGGCTTATACCATGGGAGTCACTGAGGGACACAGAGTGACGTGATCATACCTACATTTTTTTTAACTGGCAGCATTGTCTAGGATGGGTTGGAGGGGAAGGAAAGTGAATGAAAGGAAGCCAGTTTGGAAGTAACTTCAACAGAGCATGACATAAATTAGGAAGCACAAGGAGAAATGGAAAGAGATGTTTGAGACTGATTAAGAAAGTAGAAACTACAGGATTTGGAACTGATGTGGCTATGGGAGGCAAGGTGGAGGAAAAAAGAAAAAGTTGACTTTGAGTTATGAAGCCTGAGCAACTGAGAATCACCCAACTTACAGGACACATGGAAAGAGCTTAGGGAGATGATGAGCTTGGGATTCTCACAGACTTATAGATAAAAGTGTTTAAGGGTTAGGCCCACCAGGTTCACCCAGGACAATGTCAGGGCTAGATTTAGAAGTCATCCACACAGCAGTGATAGCTTAAGCCATGGGACTAAATGAAATCACCAAGGAAAAGGGAGTTACATGAGAAGATGGCTGAGAGTAGAACATTGTCAAGATGCTTACAACATTTACAGAAAAAAAACAGGCAATGGAGACTGGGAAGGAATAGTCAAGATGGTATAGGAACACAGAAGCCAAGTAAGAAGACTTTCAAGAGGGTGATTAAATTTTTTTAATATTAAGGAGACATCAAAAGGCAGGAAGACTGAAATGAGCCACTGGATTTGGCCAGTAAGAGGTCATGAGCTCCAAGAAGGTAGCTTCAATACAGCTGGATACTGGAATGGGCTGGAGGGAACTGTAGATGAGGACAGGCTAGAATATTCTTTCCAGATAGTTGGCACTGAAGTGAGAGGTGGGACAGTAGTTTAAGGCAAAATCTGGTCTAACACCTGCCATATTTGGGAGTAAACCCTACGACAGACAGAAGATGCCAGAGAAAGGGGATGGCAGATGGAACCAGATCTTGTAGGAGATGGACTGGAGCTGCGGTGCTCCTTCAAACCTGCTGTGTGAACCATTCTTTAATTTCTGATAATTTAAGGCCAGATCTGCAAAACCCAAGACAGAACACGTTCCTGAACTGAGCTTTCATGAATTAGACTTACACTTTCACTTTCATTATTATTTAGAAGATGTGTTCCCATGAAAGTCTTTTTAGCCTAATGCAGTTAAAAATACTTAATACAGAAACATTTTTTCAAATCACATATTTAAGCAAAAACTAAGAAAAGGCTGAAAATATATCCTAACTATATGATACCACTGCCTTTGCTTTTAAGCACTACATTTTAACCTACCATCAGCCTATAAATACTTCATATTCTTCTAGACCTGCACAGCCTTCATGTAATTGTCCATCAATCATGAATTTCCTTTGACTGAAACAACTTCTGGTAAAATGTGGGAAGGGAGAAACCTTGTTTCACTAGAAAAAATTTCAGGCCTTTATTGCAAAAAAGAAAAATAAATTAAAAGACAGTTATAGGAAAAAGAGCTGTAATACAAAGCAGTTCTTCTCCTTAACGACCTCTTTCATCATCTTCAGTTTATCCTAAAATAAAGGGTGTGTGTGTGTATTTACACATTCTTTCCTTAGCAGGTATTTGCCTCCACGTGTGTTTAGAGTCACCCAGAGGAGCAGGAGGTGGAGGTAAGGTGAGATGGACAATAGGAAGATGCAAGCAAGGCATGACAGTATAAAAGATGGCAAGAGCAAGGCAGAATATAAAGAAAAACTGTTTTAAGAACAAGACTCCTGGAAAGGTTTATTTCAGTCAATGGAAAAAAAATAAAAATAAAAATAAAGGAAGACTACTCAAACAGTAGGATGAATAGGAAGGCCAAGTTTTACGTACACATATTAAATCACCTTATGGACTGAGTCACAGATTATAACTAATGCAATGCATAATAAATCTATCTTGCCAAATATATACTAAATGCTCTCAAATGATACTTGAAATGCCACTCCTTTCAGAAACAAACCTGCCCTATTCACTTACTCTCTGCAATACCTACACTACACATCTGTATTTTCAAAGCATGTTTGCCTAAATGGCATTTAGGCTCAAGTGATCTGTTCCCATTTCTAACTGAGCCACAAAAGCCTGACATGCGCCACTCATTAGCTGCCACGCTGACAGCACTGGATTCTGGGATGTGAGTGCCCAGTGCTAACCAGCTGCACTGAGCTGCCCACAGTTTGCCTCACTACCTTCTCTATTTAAAGAGGGCTGGCCCAGACGGAGGGCACTCGGCGGTGGAAGAGCACAGGTTTCTCCGAGGAAAGCTCCCAGGCACACGCAGCGCGCCTATCAGCCCCGCTGGCACCGAGTTTCAGTCGCCTGTGCGGCCCATCGGCACAGACCAGTAGGGGAGACCGAGTCCCTCTGGGAATCATAGTATTAATAAACTGCCCTCATACACACCACACTGCGAAGTGTGACACAGAGTGAATGCAAGAGAATCCTGGCCCACAGGCCGTTCTCACAGAGGAGGCCCCCGAGAAACTAATCTCCCTGAGGAGAGCCCTGGAATTTACCAGACTGTGTGCCAGGGGAAAGGCGTATCTGGTGAGGATCTCAAACATATCTCTTCTGCTGTGGCCTTCCTGTTTCAACGCGAACCTCAGGTTTCTCATGTCCTAGGGGCAAAGGAAAGAGAATTGTGACAATTCAGTCTTCAAACAAAGTCAGGTTTATTGCCAAAAAAACCTTGCATTTAACTAAAGGAGTAGAAGATTCACTTACCTGAAAGGGCAATTAATCTAGATTACTCAGAAAACCTTTGTTTTATATGCTATTTTGACATATCCGATTTAAGAACATCTGAAAACATCCCCATTGTTGTCACGGACGTAAAGACAAAACAAAGCAACTAGTGCTGAGACGACAGAGCTAAAAGTCATTCTGGAAGAAGACAAAGCAAACCTTGCCTTGCACGTGATCGAAAGTGTTTATCTACTTTAACTGGCTTCTGAAGTATTTAATTATAAAACAGTATTCTATTCACATAACCGTTTAAAAGAGTATCTGCTATCACATATAATCTCAAAATTGTCAAACATGTCATTAAAATAAGCTCCTTCTTCTACCCTCATACTTTTTCTTTAAAGTCTCATTTTAAAATTTAGAAAATGATTACCATTTGAAGCTCTTATGCAAGTAATATAAATAATATGTTTTTAAAAAATTATTGTGGTAAATATGGAACAAACAAAACATTTGCCATTCTGACTTTTTTACACGTGCAATTCAGTGCCATTATGCTCATCAAGGCGAACAACCATCACTGCTATCCATTTCCAAATTATTCCATGACCCTTAACAGAAGCTCAGTGTCCCCTAAGTAATGACTGTCCTGCCCGTCTCCCTTCTACCCCTAGTACCCACTAATAAACTTTGGTCTCTATATATTGACCTATTCTAAATATTTCATATAAGTGAGATCATACAATATTTGTCTTTTTGTGGCTGACTTATTTCATTCAGCATGTTTTCAAGGTTCATCCATGTTGGGGCATGTATCAGGATCTCCTTTCTCTTTACAGCTGAATAGTATTCCATTGTAATGACGGACCATATTTTGTCTATCCATTCATCTTTTGAGGGACATTTAGGTAGTTTCCACCTTTTGGCTATTATGAATAATGAACATTGGTGTACAAGTATGTTTGAGTCCCCGCTTTCAAGTCTTTTGGGTATGTACCCAGGAGTAGAACTGCTGGATCATATGGTAATTCTATGTTTAACTTTTGAGAAACCACCAAATTGTTTTCCACAGTGGTTGCAGCATTTTATAGTCCTACCATATAAGTAATATGTTTTTATTATATAGTTTTACTGTCACAGAGTTCTGCATAAACCACATTAAGCACCAAGTATTAATAGTGACTGCTTCCAGGAACTAAAAAGTAATGACCCAAACCAGATTTAAAAGGTAGCTTCAAGTATGTATCTCTTTTATAAACTTAAGGTTAATAACCTTCTTTTAAACAGAATCCAAACAAAATACCTGTTGCCATCGAGTCTGTTCTGACTCATAGTGACAGAGTAGAACTGCCCCATAGGGTTTCCTAGGCTGTAATCTTTATGGACATCGACTGCCACATCCTTCTCCTGTGGAGCTGGTCATGGGTTCAAACCCCCAACCTTTCAGTTAGCAGTCAAGCTCTTAACCACTACGCCATCGGGGCTCCTTCCAAACAAAACAGGCTCCTTTAAGTGTCAATTTGTGCTGTATGTCAAAGTATCTAATGTTCTATCTTATTTTCAAGACTGGAGTTGTTCAGGTTGTCTCCTCAGAGACAATCATGGCACTGTGGCTGAGGGATGGCTGACTGTTAGGACACATCATCCTCTGCAGTGCACTTTCTGTTCAGAAAAGCAAGTATTGTGCTGGAGCCTGGAGACAGAGCAAAAGCGAGCCGGACTCAGCCCCTCCCTCTTGGCTGTTAGAATCTTTGTATTTTTCAAAGTGCTTTTCCATTTACTATCTCAAGAGTATTCTTAAAGCTTAATAAGTTTTTGTTCTGAAGGACCAGCAAGTCTTGCTACATACAAGCCATCCCAAAATGTAAACGGCAGCAAACGAAGTATAAATAACTAGAGTCTAAAATATCCAGTGAACAACCGAGACTGATCACTCTGGATACAGATGGCGTCTACTGGTCCTTCCCAGCTCCGTGATTCTGTGCTTTCATTTTTAAAAGAACAGGATAAATCCAATAGCTTATATACCCTCTTTAAAGTGGTTTACCAAAATATACCTGCAGAAACCTGAGATATTAGTTGTTGGTCCATGATGCAAAGCGATAGTCAAACGGAGGAAAAAAGTTGTTCCGATGAGATTATATACTTTAAACCGCAGGGTTGGCAACCAGCCATAAGTACAATACTTGATTAGCCAAGGACCCTCAGGGATCAAGGACCTGTGAGGAACTTTCTTCCTAACAGCCATGGGTCAGCTGATAACTCTGTAACATCATTCTCTTAACTACTCAGCTAGAAATTAGAACATTTCTAGATACATATTTATTCTGCTCCATCACTAATTCCAACAACTACTTTCAGTGTTTAAAAGCACAAATAATTCAAGCAACTGCTTTCTGCCATCCAATTCAGATCTAATTAAAAGGCACAAGGAATTACCACTCCATCTTTCCAACAAGAAAACTGAAGTGGAAAAGGCAAATGACTCACAGGCAACAGATCACCGAATCTCTAACAGAAATACGAGCATGTACTAAGTAGTGAGTTCCACTTGGGACCTCCGAGTTTGACTCATCAGGGAAGGACGCCTGGGAAAGATCCTTGTGGCTTACGGCCTCCCAGTCAGACCCTCAACCTATTCAACTATGGGTCACATGACAATGATACTCAAAGTCTCGCTATATAATCAGAGCTGAAGCAAACACACCCCATTACAACGATTCTGAAGGGTTGATTTATTGAGGCATTATTTCCACAATGCATTTCTAAAGAAAATACAAATCACTTCTGGCTTCAAAACACAACACTGTCTTTCCACATACTAAATGGGGAGGGGAGTAGAAGAGAGAAGGCTTTGTGGTGGCATGGTTTTCCTTTGCTTTTTTTTTTTTTTAAGATTCCAAGTTGTCAGCAGGGGCTGGAATGGGACCTGGGGGAAGAATTCAGAAATTCAGAGCTACCCGTGTGCGATCCACCTGCTCCCCTGTTGCTAGACGATGTCCAGTGGTGATGTACAGCCACCGTGTGAAAGGTGCTATTGGCAAGCAGAAATTTCCATGTGCAGAGTGGGCAGAAAAAACCGTGTAGGAGCTGTAACTCCTTGTTTCGGGAGAGTGATGCAGCTCTATTATGGTTATTGACTGCAGATGAAAGTTGACCTCTGAGAGACAGGATGGTGAGTCTTCTGTTCCACGGCACCAGATCCCTTCTATACCAATTTCTACTGAGAAAATGGAATCTCTGATTGTTGAGACATTGGTGTTGCCAGGGAGATAATGTAGTTAAATTACATCATGTAGTTACAAGGCCGTGCTACTACATTGTTCCAGGCCATCTTCTTTGGGCTTGCTCAAATTCCAGGAAATATACATATGGAACACTTGAGAATTATGTCCCGTGAGTTGTTCCTAAGCCTTTAGTCAAAGGGTAGGAGTCTGCTTTGTCTTATTAATCTTTTCGTTTTGGGGGGATTAATATTAAACTACAAATTTTTCCGATTGACAAGGAAGCAAATAGAATTTTTTAAAAAACCTTATTAGAGAAAGTTACTTCAAAATCATCAAAATAGCACCCCTATTCTCCTTGGGTACTTTACTATAACACTCCACTCCAAGGATCCTTGCATGCAAAATGCAAAGACCTTCCTTAAAAGAAATCCCCAGTTTCTGGTGATGGAAATTTGGCAATGGGTATTGGTGACGGTTGCACAACATGATTAATGTAATTGATGTCACTAAACTGTACACGTGAAAAATGTCAAATTGGCAAATGTTGTGTTATATATATTTTTACAACAACAAAAAATAACTTTAAAAAGTAAATCTCCAAAGGGTAGGCAGTAGCTGGGATTGTATATAAGGTAGCTCACGTTGAAACAGAAACAAACAAACCAAAAAACCGACGGGGGGAGTGATGGGGAATTTCAGTTCAAGTTTAATAATAAGATAATCCTTTGGTCCCTGATAGAATGTCCCAGTCTCGGTTATTTATAAACTGGATATGAAAACATCCCATTGTATTCATAATCCAAACATAAGATTGTTTTTTCAAAACCATGAGTGAGTGAGGCTAGGAAAAGCAAACAGGTTCTAATTCTGACTCTTCCATTGGCTCCTTGGGCAACCTTAGACAAGTCACCTCCCCATGTGGAGAATGAAGGCCTTAGACTGTTCTGGGTCAGCAAACTTCAGCCCAAACCCAAACCCCAAACCCACTGCCCGCGAGTCAAATTCCGACTCATAGCATCCCTAGTGGACAGAGTAGAAATGCCCCATAGGGTTTCGAAGGCTATAAATCTTTACGGAAGCAGACTGCCACATCTTTCTCCCATGCAGTGGCTGGGGAGTTCGAACAACCCATCTTTCGGTTTGCAGATGAGTGCTTAACCACTGCAGCAGCAGGGCTCCTTCAAGGTTATCCTGATGCTTATCTAGGTTGGAGAACCACTGGAACAGATTATCTCCCAAAGTCCCTTCCAGCTCTTTCCAGGATCGAGCATTATTCTACAGACTGCAGTCTTCTGATACCCAATACCTGGAAGGTAGGATTTTTGCCAGAGGGTTTATTATGCTGTCTACAAAATGATTATTTCAGTGTGTTTGGATCCCAGGTTTGTCATTTCCTGTGTGACCTTAGCTAAGTTACCTAATTCTTCTGATCCTCAGGCTTCCTACCTATAAAATGGGGATGCCACCATCTACCTCCATGTGGTGCTTGGACTGACACAGAGATGCTCAGCAAAACATTTATTATTATATCTGATTACATTTCGTTATCATCAAATCTATGCCTCTCACCATCCTGAAACAAAATGTTAGGCCACTACCTTTTAAAATTATCTAAGCAAAAGCTGGAGCCCTTGTGGTACAGTGGTTAAGAGCTCTGCTGCTAACCAAAAGGTTGGCAGTTGGAATCCACCAGCTGCTCCTTGGAAACCCCATGGGGCAGTTCTACTCTGTCCTATAGGGTCGCTATGAGTTGGAACTGACTCAACAGCATCTAACAACAACAAACAAAAGTTACAAAGGTTGTTAGAGTTAAGGACACAAGCTGCTCACAAAGGGAAAATGTTCTTGTATTTGTCCTTCCTTTCACAGAGCAAAAGCATCCAGCTGGTAATACATCCTTATCAAGGGACGCCAGGAGCAGACTTCGGAAAAAACTAAAAAGTTTAAAAAAATTTTTTATCCGTAAAGTTTTCTTCCTACTCGCTCGAGCTAACAAACTGACCAGCTCCTTGACTCCTCATATTTGGTGACACCAGCAGGTAGGTTTTATGGGAACTACTTCCCTCAGTCGTTTTGGGAAGTTCGACCATGAGGGTTTGAAGAACCATTTCCAGGATCTTAGATGAACAAGGACCAGCCAGTGTTTTGTTCTGTTGTACATAGGGTTGCTATGAGTCAGAACCGACTCGACGGCACCTAACAACAACAACAGATGAACAAGGGACTTTGATCTTTTTTGAAACCCACATTAACTTTCTACTATCATCAAACACTCTTTTTCTTTGGTTGAGAAAGTATTGAACCTCTTACTTTACAAGTAATATCTAGACCATAGGAATTTTCGCCTCTACTTGTCGCGCCTCCCATTTTTTCAATTCTTGAGATCACACCCAGAGGAACATCAAGTATTAGAGCAGAATCCTGTAATGGACAAAAAGACAAAGTAAATATTTTTGGTAGTATAGAATTAAAACAGCAAAAACATACAAAACAACAACAACCGTACGCTTTCAGGGCAATTTTTACCTTGGCCCTTTACCCATTTACGAACAAAGATATGCTCTAGATCACACGTGAAACAGCAAGCGTTAAAATAGTCAACTATGCAATCAAAACGTATCCCTCACCATGGTCCATTCCTCACTGCCTCCAGACTAATTTAGACTAAACTCCTAGCTATGCAATTCAAGGGCCCCGTGATGCTGTGTCTCTGCAGACTTCTCTCCCACGGCATCCTGCACTCCAGCCACAGCGAACTCCTTCGCCATTCTTCAAACATTTCGTCCACAATCAGGCCTATGTGCTTTGCTCAAGGCATTCACTTTGCCTGGGATGATCTATCTTTTCCAACCACCAAAATTCTCCCCATTGCTTACAGTCCGTTTCAGTAGGCATCACCTCTAACGAAGCCTTGCTTCCCAATTAGATCAGATGGCTTCCTCCTTTGCTTGCACCTCTGAAGTCCCACAGCTTGATGTGGACTGCTATTACACCACTTGCTTCATTCTGTCTTGCTACCATGTATTTACATGTCTGTATTCCCTCACTAGAAATCCACATCTGGAAGGAGTGCCTGTCTTAGTCATCGGTACATTTCCCAAAGCACATGGGCCTTTACGCATAGCAACGCTTCTCAATGAGGGGTGCAACTGGTCCATTGAGTGCTGGTAGGATGGAGTCATGTTAGTGAAGTAATATGGCAATCATCACCACAAGCTAATCACAGCACCTGCCTGGTCCTGCAATAGGGGCTTTGCGTGTATTGTCTCATTTTATCCTCCCGACCATTCCAGGACATAGATGGATCCCTGTTTTCCAATGTGGCAATTAAAGTTTTGGAATTTTTCAATAAATTGCCTAGTAAACATGGGGTAGGGCTGAGATTCAAGCTGAGGTCTGGGGATACACATCTAAAGAGCCATAAAAATGTTCCTACCCTTTGACCCAAAAATTTCACTCCTAAGTGCTTATCTTGTGGCTATCATTCAACAGCAGGAGAAAGGCAATATGCATGAAAGATGCTCAATGGCACCAGAGGTGGACATCAGGGTGGAGAAAATTATAGTCAACAGAATGGATGGGCATGCAGCTATTCCAATAATTATGGTACGTGGAAAAATCAGTTTAAGTGGAAAAAAAAGCAGTATTCGAAATACACCATGACTACAATAATGTAAAATATCTACTAATATGGACAAGGATAGGTAGGGCTAATGCAAATTTTTTAATCCAAAATTTGGACTTTGACAATAAAGAAAAGGAAAAAAGTGTTTGTTGAATTTTTGTTCTTTAAAAATGTCCTTTGGGGAGGATACAAATAAAGTTTTTCTCTTAACTTTAAATCCTTCTTCTTAAAATATGATACAAAAACTAAGAACTTCCTCATAAAATATAAATATAGCTCATGCATTGTCTAGAAATCCACAAAGCCTAGAATATGACTCAGAAACAAAAATGAACGAACTACTGATACACCCAACAACTTGGATGAATTTTAAGGGCATCATGCTGAAGTGAAAAAAGCCAATCTCAAAAGGTCACATACTGTATGACTGTATTTCTCTGACATTCTTGAAATGACAAAATTGTAGAGATGGAGGACAAGAGAAGTGGTGGCCAGGGGCTGCAGGGAGGGAGGTGTGGCTATAAACGGGCAGCACAAGGAAGTTCTCTTGAAGTGACAGATTGTCGGTGGTGGTCACATAAATTTATACATGGAATCCAATGCTAACGGATTATACACAAAGACACGGAATGCAGGCCTGTAGTCTAGGTGACTGCACTGTGCCAATCAACTTCCTGATCGTGATACAGCAAAATGGTTACTGAGGGGACCTGGGTGACAGGTACTACATAGGACTGCCCTGTGCTATTTTTGCAAGTTCTTATGAGTTCATGATTATTTCAAAATAAAAAGCTTAAAAAAGTATAAGAGTGTGGTTATTGTGGTGTAGCGAAAAGAGTACAAGTTCTTGAGTTGGGCAAAATTGGTTGAAATCTGAGCTTTGACACTAATTAGCTGGATGATCCTGGCAAGTGACTGCATCTCTCAGCCTCATTTACCTGTAAAGTAGGGAGGGTTCAAGATAATGAGTGTAAAAGACCTAGCATGGTGCCTGGCAGAGGGTAGCTAGAAAACAGTGGAAACTGTTGTTGTTGTAATGGCAAAAACTATCTTAGTACTTGGAAGGCATAGCTGTGCTCTGCAAATACAACAGATGAGCACGTTCTAGCAAGCATCTAACAGGTCTCTTTATCTTTGAACCTATCAGGAGGCATATTTTAGCTGCTGCTATGGGATGAGACACCTAATACATGACTCTAATCCAAATACCTACAGAAAAAAGCGCTACTCAGTAACTGTGTACATATATAGCTGCCTATTATAATGTATTTATTTGTCAATACAATCTAATTATTAAAAACATACTATCAAGCAATTAATATCAATTATTATGCTTAGGCTATACTGAGATTTATGAGGGCCTATAAAAGTTCAACTGTATTCCTAAACGTCAAACTTATACCTAAAATACATAGACTAGTTACTAAATGAAAATGGGATATTCTAATATCAACATGGAAGCAAGAATGCAAAAAAAAATGGTGGGGGGGCGGGCAGAGGAATTCAAAGTGAGATGAGGCCCTGGCCTTGCTGTCCTCTGTCCCTGTACAGAGGACATTCTATAGCTCTCACGGCCTTGACCCAGCCCAAAACAGAGAACGGGACACTGGGGAGACACAGACAGGTCCTGGTCAACAGCGCCCACAGTCTAACGAGGCTACTCGCCATGTTCTTCCTGAATGACAGGCTCAAGATCAGATAGCTCAGCAGGCCAAACTGGAAGATCCAGGAATAGGAAAATTAGCCTAAGTCTCTAGAAACCTGAGTCTTCACTATCTAAATATCATTAAATATTTAAGGATTCTCAAAGGTCCATTCTAACTCAAAATTCCATGCTGCTGTGCCTCTAAGCACCTAAAATATGACAAACTAAAAAAAAAAAAAAAAAAAAAAGCAGGCAACCAATGTCACAAAACAATCTGTGTATTAATTGTTTAATGAGAAACTAATTTGCTCTGTAAACTTTCACCTAAAGCACAATAAAAATAAACAATAGATAAATAAAGCATTCACTGTCTCTCTTGAGTGCATATTAAGTAACAAAAACTGTACTGGGCACTAGGGGTCCACGAAGATAAGATGCAGATGCTGCACTTGGGGGCAAGGAGGGGGTAGGGGACTTGGGGCCTAGTTTGGGAGATGAGACACGTATACCCAAATGACCACAATGCCAAATCGCTAGTGTTAGAGCGGTAAGAAAAGTCTGGACGAAGTGGAATGGGAGGTGCTCTAGACTGAAGTGTGTCCCCCAAGAAGACGTGTTGAAGTCCTAACCTCTGTGCTTGTGACCATGACCAGTTTGGAAATAGTTTTTTTGCAGATGTTCTCAGTTAAGTCATGCCACTTCTGAGTGATGTTTCATACAATGGGAGAACAGGCATGAAAAACAGGGTCATGCGGGGGAAGACAGATGCCATGGGACAATGGAGGCAGATGCATTTACAAGTGGCGAAGAACTCCAAGGATTGCCAGATGCCACTTGAAGCTAGGTGAGGTGTGATGAATCACTTCTGTGTGGCCTTTCTAACCATGGTCTTGCAACTCCCACCCAAGTAATTGGGTGGCACTGTGCAAATAGGCAATTATGCCCCATCAAGGGGATCAGTCAGTTTTGCTTAAAAGAAAGTCAATTCCAGAGCAGAGAGAGGATCCCACCACCACCAAGGAAGAACAGCCAGGAGTGGAGCGTGTCCTTTGGACCCGGGATACCTGTGCTGAGAAACTCCTGGACCCAGGAGACAGAGAGCTGTAACACTGAAGACAGCAAGAAGCAGTGGCAGAGAAATGGCAACAGGAGAGAAGAGCAAGACAGACCGGCAGGAGACAATGCAGTGGGCTTCCTGGCCCACAGAGCGAGAAAGCTGAGAGCCTTTGGGCCAAGGCTTACTGGTGGAGTGGGGTGTTTCTGGGTATTTGTTGGCAGGGGCTAGAAGAGTTTTATGGAAACCCTGGTGGCACAGTGGTTAAGAGCTTGGCTGCTAGCCAGAAAGTTGGCAGTTTGAATCCACCAGCTGCTCCCTGGAAACCCTATGGGGCAGTTCTACTCTGTCCTATAGGGTCGCGATGAGTCAGAATCAACTCTACGGCAATGGGTTTGGTTTTTTGTTTTGTTTTTTTTTAAAAGCTCTGTAACACTTGCCTGAGCAGGGCAGAGGCTGAGGGCCAGAGAGAGGTGTGTCTGTGAGCACAGCTGAAAAGAGGCTGTCCTGATAGAAGAGCTGTATCCTGAGCGTTCCTGAGCCTGAATTGTAACCTATTACTTCCCTAATAAACCCCATAATTGTCTGAGTATTGTGAGTTCTGTGTGGCCATTGCAATGAATTATTGAACCCAGCAGAGAAGTAGAGAGTGCTGTGGGAGGGACGGTTGTCAGAATGAGTAAAGATGGCGGAGAGAGGAGGCATGTCTGCCCTCCGCCTCATAGGAATCAGCCTTGGGCTGTTGGTCTTCATTCTCCCTCCCCCTGGTGAGGTCAGAGGAGGTCAGAGGCCGCCCCCATGTCATTTCGAGATTGGCCTTTTGGAGGTAACAGTGACATCGAACACACACGAGGGCAAACGAGGATTTTACTAAAAACACAAACAAGTGGGCTGGGTTTCAAATAGAGTGCATCCGGCTAGGATCAGGGAGAATGGAACTCATGGAACGTGTTCTGAGACGAGGAATGGCATGGCGAGAATGGCGCCGTATGTGGATTCATCTAGCAGCATTGAGCGGTGTGGACTGGAAAGTAGGGACCATACATAGGAATCACAGAGGCTAACGCTTTAGTGCAAGTGAGTTATGAGGACCTGAA